AACAGCACGTCAAGTATTAAAAACCATTTGTCTCCATTCACTCCTATCAAATACGCTCACGCATGCTTGCTGGAAGCCCAAGCTCCTCGCACACAAAACCTTCTTTTCCCCCTCCCTCCAACCTTTCCTAGGCCGACCCCTACCCCGCCTTCCCTTCTCTACAGATTTATACACTCTCGAAGTCATTCTGTTTTGTTCCATTTTCTCTACATGTCCGAACCACCTCAACAACCCTTCCTCAGCCCTCTGGATAATAGTTTTGATAATCCTACACCTTCTCCTAATTTCCAAACTACGAATTCTCTGTATTATATTCACGCCACACATTGCCCTCAGACAAGACATCTCCACTGTTTCACACCCTTATAAGAGTGTTGGTATAACTATACTCTCATACGTTCCCCTCTTTGCTTCCACAGACAAAGTTCTTTGTCTCCACAGATTCCTAAGTGCACTCCTCCATACTCTTTCCCTCCAATCTGATATCCAATCTTTCGTCACCTAATCTTATTGTTATCTTCATCACCTTACTCTTTCCTACATTCACTTTTAATTTTCTTCTTTTATATACCCTTCCAAATTCATCCACCAACCTCTGCAACTTCTCTTCAGAATCTCCCATAAGCACAGTGCCCATCAGCAAAAAAGCAACTGAGACAACTCCCACTTTGTGTTCGATTCTTTATCTTTTAACTCCACACCTTTTGCAAAGACCCTCGCATTCACTTCTTTTACAACCTCATCTATAAATATATTGAACAACCACGGTGACATCACACATCCTTGTCTAAGGCCTACTTTTACTGGAAAATAATTTCCCTCACTCCTACATACTCTAACATGAGCCTCACTATCCTCATAAAAACCTTCACTCCTTACAGTAACCTACCCCCTATACCATACACCTGCAACATCTGCCACATTGCCCCCCTGTCCACCCTGTCATACGCCTTTTCCAAATCCATAAATGCCACTAAAACTCTTTACCCTTATCTAAATACTGTTGTCCTATATGTTTCACTGTAAACTCTTGGTCTACACACCCCCTACCTTTCCTAAAGCCTCCTTGTTCATCTACTATCCTACTCTCTGTCTTACTCTTAATTCTTTCAATAGTAACTCAAAATACTTTTTACCAGGTATACTCAACAGACTTATTCCCGTATAATTTTTGCACTCTCTTTTATCCCATTGCCTTTATACAGAGGAACTATGCATGCTCTCTGCCAATCCTTAGGTACCTTACCCTCTTCCATACATTTATTAAATAATAGCACCAACCACTTCAAAACTATATCTCCACCTGCTTTTAACATTTCTATCTTTATCCCATCAATCCCAGCTGCCTTACCTCCTTTCATTCTACCCACTGCCACACGAACTTCCCCCACACTCACAACTAGCTCTTCCTCACTCCTACAAGATGTTATTCCTCTTTGCCCTATACACGAATTCACAGCTTCCCTATCTTCATCAACATTTAACAATTCCTCAAAATATTCCCTCCATCTTCCCGATACCTCCAACTCTCCATTTAATAAATGTCTTCTCGTATTTTTTAACTGTCATATACATTTGTTCCCTAGGCTTCCTCGACTTGTTAATCTCACTCCAAATTTTTTTCTTATTTTCAAAAAAATTTGTTGATAACATCTCATCCACTCTTTTATTTGCTCTCTTTTCACATTGCTTCACCACTCTCCTAACCTCTCTTTTTCTCTCCATATACTCTTCCCTCCTTTCATCACTTCTAGTTTGTAAAAACCTCTCATATGCTAACATTTTCTTCCTTACTACTCTCTTTACATCATCATTCCACCAATCGCTCTTCTTCCCTCCCGCACCCACTTTCCTGTAACCACAAAATTCTGCTGAACACTCTAACACTATAATTTTAAACCTACCCTATACATCTTCGACCTCATTGCCTATACTCTCACTAGCCCATCTTTCCTCCAATAGTTGTTTATATCTTACCCTAACTGTCTCCTCTTTTAGTTTATAAACCTTCATCTCTCTCTTACTTAAGGCTTCTATTTTCCTTGTGTCCCATCTACCTTTTGCTCTCACTGTAGCTACAACTAAAAAGTGATCTGATATATCTGTGGCCCCTCTATAAACATGTACATCCTGAAGTCTACTCAGCAGTCTTTTATCTACCAATACGTAGTGCAACAAACTACTATCATTACTCCCTACATCATATCTTGTATACTTATTTATTTTCTTTTTCTTAAAATACATATTGTATATAGCTAAACCCCTTTCTATACAAAGTTCAATCAAAGGACTCCCATTATCATTTACACCTGGCACCCCAAACTTACCTACCACACCACTACTTTAGCATTTAGATCCCCTACCACAATTACTCTCTCATTTGCTTCAAAGGTTCCTATACATTCGCTTAACATCTCCCAAAATCTCTCTCTCTCCTCTACACTCCTCTCCTCTCCAGGTGCATACATGCTTATTATGACCCACTTTTCACATCCAACCCTTATTTTAATCCACATAATCCTTGAAATTACACATTTATATTCCTTCTTCCCTTTTCATAACTGATCCTTCAACATTATTACTACCCCTTCCTTAGCTCTAACTCTCTCAGATACTCCTGATTTTTCAATTTATTTCTCCCCACTGAAACTCCCCTACCCCCTTCAGCTTTGTTTCACTTAGGGCCAGGACATCCAACTTCTTTTCATTCATAACATCAGCAGTCATATCTTTCTTATCATCCGCACTTCATCCACGCATATTCAAGCATCCCAGTTTTATAAAGTTTTCTTCTTCTCATTTTTAGTAAATGTGTATGGGAGAAGAGGTTACTAGCCCAATGCTCCCGGCATTTTAGTCGCCTCAGACGACATGCATGCCTTACGGAAGAAAGATTCTTTTCCATTTCCCCATGGACAATAGAGGAAAAAAATAACAAGAACAAGAGGTATAAAGAAAAAGAAGAAAAACCCTAGATGTGTGTATGTATATATATGAATGTGCTTGCCTGTGTAGTGTGACCTAAGTGAAAGTAGAAGCAGCAAGATATCCCTGTTATCTAGGGTGTTTATGAGACAGAAAAGACACCAGCAATTCTACCATCATGTAAAACAGTTACAGGTATCTGTTTCATAGTCAACTGGCAGAACGGTAGTACCTCCCAGGGTGGCTGCTGTTGCTGTCTACCAACCTACTATACCTAAAATATATAATTAAGTATTAAGAGGAGCTGCCATATACCTCCTGCTGTTTATCTTATTCTTACATTAAAACGCAAAACACACCTACCTCCCTACCAGCTATGTGCCTTAGTAAGAAGTGGAGCCACAGCTCAAAGGCTACCGGCAGTCCTACTTGCATTTGCTAACTCTTATGCTATTGGATGTTATGAGCCCTATTCTGCTACTGGCTAATTACTAATGTGTTGTCATGCCAGAGGGTGATAAGGATTTATTGGACCATGTTATCAGACGTCTGAGAGAAAATTGAGTCGAAAGTTAATGGGATACATTCTTAATGTTAGTAGTAGTGTTAGAGTCTCTGTACTCATTCAGGTTCACACTGTTTATATGGTTGCTTGTTTAATATAAGTGTCATAAATACTAATCAGTGATGTTAAAGGTAAATCTCACATGGACAGAAAATTTATTTCAGAAGGGAAAGTGAAGATGGTAATCCGATTGAGGCCGAAAAATACAAATCCTTTCCATTCTGTATTTATTGTCCATGTGAGATTTTCCTTTTAATATAATTACATTTCGGCGGCATCCATTTTCATTGTCTAGTTTGTTCTTTAATTTCTAATGGTTCCAGTGTTGTAGCATATAATGGCTATTACTACATCCATTTATTCTATACTTTCACAATCACTTTTCTTAATTTACCATAGTTCCATTTTCTTCCACCTGTTGAAGATGATAAGAATCTTCCATAACAATATTTCACGTATTATTTTGTAATCTTATATGAAGTAATCACATTTGTTATCTTCCGAGGGGCATTTTAAGTTATTCATTCTTTATTTGTATTTCATATTTCTTACTGCTATGAGTTATTTTGAAGTAGTATATCTTTGGATCTTTTTTGTTTATGGTAGAATATTTAAGGGTATTATAATTTTTGTCTTACGTATGGTAGGGAAATAAAATAAATTCATATTACATCAGGATGCTGCTGTTGGTACATTGCACTTGACCACAATGCTTTGATAAAAAAGATAAAACTTTTACACAACATCATAAAAAAGAGAAAGTAGAGACAAATAATATTTTTATGCTAATTCTCTCGCGAGTTCTGTTTTTTAGAACAGCTGAAGAACAAATGTTTGCTCTCCTGCCAATGCTTCAAAGCATCTTGTTTGTTTTGATTATTTCTTCCCAAGGACCTTTTTCCCCTCAGTTCCAGCATAGAACAAATCGCGAACCTCTGGACTTTCTTGAGACTATGTTAGTGCATGACAAAGCGTAGAGTTCATGCTGGTACAATGTACTATAAAACAGATCTGACATGGGTCTATTATGTGGGCAATATCTGGAATTATCATGACAGGATGAATTAAGAGAAAAGTCCTCTATTAGATATTTATTGTCCATCGTGATAACAGGCTAACAGATAATATAATGCCACTGAGCGCACCCACTTTCACGAAATGAAAAAGAGTTAGAAGTTTCACCAGCAGTCTTCTGGATCTTCCTCATTTCTATGTATCCTTCCTTCTGATCTTCAGCTTCGTTCATGTTTGCCCTACCACTGTTCCGCTTCCTTTTACTTCATTGTCTTGAAGATTCACCAGAGGAGGAAAACCACGAATCCTTTTGCTTTCCTTAGTTAGTGGCTATATCTCTCTCCTAACTTCCTCAAGTTTCTCCTTTCACTGCTGGTACAGCCGCTCCAAGAGGGCAATGCTAGTTATGTTGACAGAGAAAAAGGTTAGCTCGCTACTGATACAGACCAACTCACATCATCAGTTTAGTTTAATATCTTTATTATGCACCACATACCTATCGTATGGGAGGCATCAATTCTGCTGTGTACCTCGCTACAGGCAGGACACAGCAGCAGCTGTTCTCCTTCAGTGCCTTACGATCCCCGTGTTGGAGAGGCGTTCTACCATTGTCTTGCAGAATCCTTACTCAGCCTTCAGTGCAGGAACAATGCGTCGTTGGCCTTCTACCCAAGGGCAGCTCGCCGACCTCTGCACTCCTGCAGCTGCGTGATTCTCACCACAACCCAGAGAAACACCTGCTGAACTTCCCACCAGTAGCAAGCACAACCATTGGCAAACAACCTCCAGCACAAGAACAGTGCGTTGTCGTCCTCCTGAACAAGGGCATTATTATTATTATTATTATTATAATCAAGGGGGAAGCGCTAAACCCAGAGGATTATACAGCGCCTGGGGGGGGGGGATGTGGAAGGCATTCAGGCTTAATTCGGGGAACTGGAGCACAAATCCAATTCCCTAAATCAAGAGCCCCTCACCAACATCAAGGAACCTTCCTTGAGGGGTGCCCAAGGGCAGTACACTGACCTCTGCACTCCTGAAGCTGCGTGTTTCCCGTCACCACAATCCTGGGTAACGTCTGCCAACCTTCAATCCATAGAATCCCAGTCCCTCTGCTTCAAGCAAACACAACCTTAGCATACAGTGAATCTCTATGGCATGTTCATTATATATCAAACTTCTGAGAATACCTAGACAGCATCTCTGATGACCAATATCTTTTTTTTGTGTGACACGGTTTTAGAATACTTTTGCGTCGTAATTTCCTAAGAGGCCAGTCGAACCCACTTCACTGAGGTGGTTAAAGATACCCACACAGTGGATCGGCTAGACTACATCACTTGGGTAACACCAACGCCTTTCTCTCCTCTCTAACAACGTTTCTTTTCTTCTGGACCGGGCGAACCTACTCCTGCGTCGGTGGGAGTATTCGTTCAAACGGTGCCTGTGGCCGAATCCAGGTGATTACCGCACAGGACGCCAAATCTTGGCAGGTACACACACCAGAACATACTCTTGACGCCCCACGATCACTATCTGAGCCAACACGACTGGCTGCCCTGCCCCATGATCAGTTGTCACTATGAATCAACCGCAAGGCTCTCCACCTCCCATGCCGACGTCTCTCTCAAGCCCCCTCCCCCCTCCCCCTACCTCACGCAAGGAACCCTCCTTCACTCTCCTCCTCAAATACTCCAAAGAGGACCACAACTCTGTATCAGCTAGTATCACGCTCTACAACATAACTCAAGCACCTCAGTCAGGAATATACAAAACAGAAACAGGCTTCAAACTTATCCTTGACAAACACTCTTACGAGATCTATACAGCGACTGCAACCCGACAGAAACTGAAAGATGCTGGCTTCTCCATTTTATGGAGCCCAGAACATCGGGCCAAGAGCACAGTAATTGCAAAACAAGTTGACCCATCCCTCCTTACTGCCTATGAGAACAATAAAACAGACCTCATAAATGACATCAGCACTAGAAATAAGGTCGCTATAGACGACATATACAGACCTCCTAACTCCAACATTCTCAAAATACGCTGCTCAACAACAACGCCTGACGAAGCTTCTAGACTCTTCCAGAAAGGAATCCTGGCAAAAACTATTCGCATACCACCTGACTATTGTGGAAACTTATTTGGTACCTAAAGTTCCACAGGACAGATCCAGCATGGCCGTAATGGAATGGCTGAGCTGGGTGGCCCTTAAACCCTCCCAAATAAACACATTTCTCTCCCCGGGTTGGCGATTGATGGTAGGCACTTATTTATTTATAGATTTACCCTTCAGGGAAGGAGTAGGTAGTTCTGCTGATAGTATATTAATATTAGGTTTACTAAGGCAACTGTAGATAATAATAATGTAGACCTAAGACCTTAACATAAGTAGTAATAGGCCGATAATGTAGGCAAACACTAGGATAAGCTAGCTAGGGAGAACTGGCAGCCCTAGTTTGAACGAAGAGACGAGGGTCTGGAAGAGAGACCAGCTTGTTCTTCTTAAGACAGACACCAACTGGACAAGACGTGCTGTGATCAGCAGACGGCGCCCCCCACGTGTCTTCACATTTGAGGCCTGGGGAAATCTGGTAGAGGCACCTCGATGTACCGTAGATGAAATCCTCTGTCAGGCCCATACAGTAAGACAAGACCTCCACTTTATCTTGTAGATTTCTGACCAGTGTCTGGGGAGAATTGTGAGTGAGTTTGATCTGTGGGCCTGTGTTGCAGCTGGCAGAGCATGCCCAGTAAGTACCAGTGTCTCTTGGCAGTCTGGAAACTAGTGTCTGTGACTGCATAGTTATACTAGGGGATACATACCCTCTTGGATATAGGAATTTCTGAGGTGCAGGCAGGTCACTAATAACGATTGAATATTGCAGGAATTAAGGCTCCCGGTTGCACATGGTTTCTGAGGGGAAGTCCAAAGGGGCTAAGGCTAAGCTTAGGGAAGTTGAAGATCAGGATATATGCTGCAACACCAAGTAAGTTAGTCCTTTATACGTGCATGCAGGCGAGTTTCTTGCACCTTCAATCATTTGTGAAAATCTATCCTATAAGCCAATTGTGAGGCTGAGGTACCCACCTCAGAGCTCGGTGTCAACAGAGTTTGCCAGGGTAGGTGACTCACTTGGAGGAAAGTCCACACAAATTTTCACAACTATCTTTATTCCATCAACTGTCACCACATAACTCAATGTTTGAAATGCTACAAATATGGTCATGAAAAAGACTCCTGCACTGCCATCCAAACCTGTTCCAGGTGTGCAGGGGTAGGCCACTACTGGTCAACATGCAAAGCCACAAAAAAAATGCATCAACTGTAATTAACCCCACACTGCTGTATCAAACTCCTGCCAAATACGTAGGGACTACCAAAAGTCACTTAGAGGCGATGAACCTATCTCCCTGCCAAACCCTCACCCCACTCCCCCTTCCCACCCCCTCGGGCAACCCCCCCACCCCCCAACGCATGGGCAACCGCACTCTCCTGGACCCAACCAACCCCACGGCTAGCCCAGAACACACCTCAACCCACAATCAGCCCACCCAACCTCAACACACAAGGTCTAGCTTACACACCTGATCTCACTCTTACTTGCAAAATCATTACAGCTGTACACTCAGCCATAGCAATAAACCAGATATACCAGCTAGACTTCCCACTTGCCCTCAATGCTATACTCGCAGCAAACAGCCTACCCCAACTTGTCTTCCCTCCTCTCCCCAGCCCCCACAGTCACTCCCCCTCCCCCCTCGCTCCCCATCCCCCCGCCACCCAAAACCCCCCCATGACTCTCCCACCCTCCATACCTGAGCCAAACCACCCCCCGAGACTCCCCTCCCCCCAACCCTCACTGCCAGACCCCTGGCAGTCTTCAAGCTGGCACTGGACAAGCACCTAAAGTCGGTTCCTGACCAGCCGGGCTGTGGCTCGTACGTTGGTTTGCGTGCAGCCAGCAGTAACAGCCTGGTTGATCAGGCTCTGATCCACCAGGAGGCCTGGTCACAGACCGGGCCGCGGGGGCGTTGACCCCCAGAACTCTCTCCAGGTATCCAGGTAGCCACCCGCAACCTCCCCACTCCCTCCGCACCCCCCACCCCTGGCCCCTCCTCCACTCCTAGATAAGATAAGATTTCGTTCAGATTTTTAACCCCGGAGGGTTAGCCACCCAGGATAACCCAAGAAAGTCAGTGCGTCATCGAGGACTGTCTAACTTATTTCCATTGGAGTCCTTAATCTTGTCCCCCAGGATGCGACCCACACCAGTCGACTAACACCCAGGTACCTATTTGCTGCTAGGTGAACAGGACAACAGGTGTAAGGAAACGTGTCGAAATGTTTCCACCCGCCAGGAATCGAACCCGGGCCCTCCGTGTGTGAAGCGGGAGCTTTAGCCACCAGGCCACCGGGCCTGGTGGCCAGCTCTAACCAAACACACAACACGACAAGATCCACCTCAGCCCCAATAAAAAGTAGGGGCGCCATTGGTACACTAAGGGAAAACACCATAAGTGTCCGGGGCCCAAAACTGTTCAACAGCCTCCCATCAAGCATTAGGGGAATTGCCAATAAACCCCTGGCTGCCTTCAAGAGAGAGCTGGACAGATACCTAAAGTCAGTGCCGGATCAGCCGGGCTGTGGCTCGTACGTTGAACTGCGTGCGGCCAGCAGTAACAGCCTAGTTGATCAGGTCCTGATCCATTGGGAGGCCTGGTCATGGACCGGGCCGCGGGGGCGTTGATCCCCGGAATAACCTCCAGGTAGCTCCAGGTAGCCCACAGGAGGAAATCAACCAACCCCAAACCAGCACCCACCATTGAAAGAATCCAGGGAACATGAAAGAACACAGAACACACAAAGCAGAAGGGTCTCCCCCTCCCCCTCCAGGAAGCGCCTCCGCGACCAAACATACACTCACACCTCTGGGAACATCACCTTCATGGGCATACGACCTGATTCCTTTAATATCCACACCATAGCTGAGCCTGGCCCCTCACCAGAAGTAGATAACAACTCTCCTGCTTCCCAACCTTCACTGACATCTTCAAGGTAATCCAACTCAATGTGAGACATTACTACCACATTAGACACATGATAGATGAGCTCATCGAAGCAGAAAAACCTGATGTAGTTCTACTAAACAGCACATGCCTACATGCAGACCAACACATCCGACACTTTGGCTACACCACCAAACAATCCCCACAAGACCCACACGATGGAGTTGCCATCCTGGTCAACTCCACCATTAGACACGAATTCCTACCTCTACATTTCACACACCAACACTCCCTAGCTGTCAGGCTACACACTCACCTAGGACCCCTCATATTCTTCACCACATATGCTAGGCCCAGCACAGCCCTCAATGCACACGACCTATCTCTCGTCTTCAACCACACCAACACTCCCTCATACCTGCTGGCAGACATGAATGCGAAACACCCAGCTTTCAACCACAACTCCACCAACCAACTAGGCACACAACTACATAACTTCTCAAACC